TTTGTGTCTTTGACTGTATCCTTAACTATTCTTCGGCACAATTATGACAATTTATATGCTATGTATGCTCTGTTTTTTTTTTTTCCTTTCTTTTTAACATGCGCGACTAGCAATAAAATTATCTCTCTTGTATATTCATTTTCCCAAAAGATGCGAATATCTGGTTGTTTTTGTCTACTGAATTTACAGGTCTAAATAAATTTTAGACTACGTCTTTAATATATCTGCTGGGGAATGATTGTTTTGTGGCATTATTAGAAGCACATCTGCATAACCTTTCATATTTGTTCATCGTCGTGTATATTTATTATGTGCATATATGTGCTGCTTTTAATCCTGGACTATAATCCACTTGTACACTTAAAAAAAAGTTAACAAGGCTCTGACTTTAAATTTGTATAATTTACTACCAATTCGGGCCATTTTGGTATTGCTGTGTTCAATATTTCTTCGCAATCAAGCTCGTGTGCTGTGTGCATATTTCTTTTGCTTGCCTGGTTCTCAAGTTGAAATGGCAATGTGCATTAGGATGATTTTCGGGCATGTCATGTTTCGTTCCGGATTATCCAAATATTTATGCTCGATAGGATTCTTTGCAGTTTTGGCTTCTATATATCCGTAATTGGAGCTTATCTTTTTTTGTGTTATGCTCTCAAGGCATAATAAACTATGCATGGCAGTTGCTTGTTTTACAAGTTAATGTACCCAAGTCGACAAGGTGGAGACACAATAATGCTATAACTTTTGGTGGTTATATTACTATATTATATATAGCTAGATATGGCTTCTTCCTTTGATAAATACATAATGCAACCAATGATAGCTTTAGAAACCTTTGGAAAATCCAAATGGGACAAAGTTTTGGTATTATTTAGGAACCTTAGCTGGATTTTGTAATTTTATATTGTAACATTGGAAAAAGGCTTAGCTGTGACATGATTTAGCATATTTTTTAAGTTCTCATTATTCGTGCCTTGCCCAATGAAATTTAATGGTCTTAAAATCGCCAAGTTGAGGTGTGAAACCGATCATCATCCATGGTCGACCCGTATTTTGCCTGCACGTACCGGCCGTAGGAGATATGGCTAGTTTTACACTTCTCGGCTCGAACACTTGAAATTTTTCTTCTTGAGATGAAGTGCTGATGAATTGATGTGCTTCTTTCTTTCCTTCATTTTCTAGAGTGTTGAAGGGTTTTTGTCACAAAATATTTCTTACACCGCAAACCTAATTGTGAAATCGATCAAGCACGGGACCAGACAAACTTGAAGGGGCTGAAGGAGTGTCCTCGTTATATATTATTTCAAATTGACGCCAAATAAATATTAAAAAAAAAATAAATTTTTTTTTTAGGTGAGTGTTTGGGAGATTTTTTTTTATGTAAAAATGTATTTCTGAATAGTAAATTGGCGGGAAATGTGTGATTGAAAAATAAAGAAATTTTTTTTATTTGCGTGTAATATTATTTTAATAAAGAATGAGTGATTGAAAAAAAAAGAGAAAATGTATTTTGAAAAAATTGAGTGCCAAACTAGGCCAAAATTGTAAACGTGGGTCCCGTGTAATAATTGGGAGAAAAAGCATTTTCTTATTTCTGCTAGTCATAGAAAAATAAATGAGATATGCACGACTTTTTATTCGGATCTTGGAATGAATCCAATCCAAGTATTCAAGACAGACACTGTTGCAACTTGAGAAAGATTGCATAATATACAATTCCTTTTTTCTTGAAATCAAAGCAATATATCAGAGGAAAGGATCTAATTACAAAGTTAAACATAAATTTACCCCTTAAGCCTTACCAAATTTGAAATTTGCTCATTTTTATTTCTCTTCTAAGTCAGATTAAATACTTTCACCGATGACGATAGATAGAATTTACATATTTAAGGGATGATAGAAGTTGAACTTGAGATGTGTACCATTGAAGTTCTCGATCTCGATCGATCCCACCAAAGTTTGAAGAATTTGCTGACATATAAAAATCCCTCAAGATTGAAATGTAAATTTATATATTTGCAAACATTTATTGTTTAGTACGGACTGCACAACTTTGTACGATCTGATTTTCTTCGGGAAAATTGTGAATTTTTTTGATATATCCAAAGAGAATAATATCAACACTTGCCATAACGTGTGGGCTAATGTTAATGCACATGATTCTTGATATCCAAACGGGGCACAAATTTTTTTATTGCACATATTTTGCAACCCATGTTCTGAGGAACTAATGATTTTTTAAGAAAACATCTCATCAAATGAATAAATTAACTATACAGAATCATATTTTATGAATTTGTATCAGTATCCATGTGATGTGATTCAACATAATTGAACTTCATAATTTTCTTCCAGCACTAAGTTTTATGGGCACTCATTAATATACGACTTGTTCCACCTAAGTTTGAGTTGTGCATGCTTAATTGATTGTCTGATTCGTTACGTGTTAATTGTTCGTGTAGAGTTGTACATGTGTGACTTGTACATCGATATTTTTTATGGGTAATTGGCACAAAACGTCCCTACCTTTCAAATCTATTGTGGAAAACGTCTCTACCTTTCATTTTTTTGACATTTTTGCCCTCATTTCAACCTTTCTTTGCGCTGGACGTCCTTCCGTCCATATTCCGTCAGTTTTTTCGTTAATTAAATACAAAAATACTTTTTTCTTTCCATAAACAAGGGTAAAATTGTCCTCACCCACTTCACCCCTTTTTCCCGCCATCAACTTAGTCCATAAGTAACAGTAGCAGCAACATGAATCTGAAAATACTTTAAATGATTAAGTTAAATAAAGAAAAAATATCGTGAACACATTATATTTCACAATTCCACAACTACTGTTGCTGTCATCTTGTGTCACTGGAAAAATTTAGAAAGACATATTAAATGGGTAGTCAATTTATAATGAGTCAATTTAAAATGAGCCATTTATCTTCTCCATTGAGCCAAAAAGAGCCATTCACCATTTTGGCTTATTATAAATTGACTACCCATTTAATACGTCTTTCTAAAATTTTCCAATGACACAAGATGACAGCAACAGTAGTTGTGGAATTATGAAATATAATGTGTTCACGATATTTTTTCTTTATTTAACTTAATCATTTAAAGTATTTTCAGATTCATGTTGCTGTTACTGTTACTTATGGACTAAGTTGATGGCGGGAAAAAGGGGTGAAGTGGGTGAGGACAATTTTACCCTTATTTATGGAAAGAAAAAGGTATTTTTGTATTTAATTAACGGAAAAACTGACGAAATATTGACGGAAGGACGTCCAGCGCAAAGGTTGAAATGAGGGTAAAAATGCAAAAAAATGAAAGGTAGGGACGTTTTCCACAATAGATTTAAAAGGTAGGAACGTATTGTGCCAATTACCCTTTAATTAACGGAAAAAACTGACGGAATATGGACGGAAGGACGTCCAGCGCAAAAAAAAGGTTGAAATGAGGGCAAAACTGCCAAAAAATGAAAGGTAGGGACGTTTTCCACAATAGATTTGAAAGGTAAGGACGTTTTGTGCCAATTACCCTATTTTTTATTAATCATGTATTGATTTGTTACCAAAATGCGATTAACATTAATGTATGAGAGAGATTCTTAACAACTTTGACACGACAACAATTAGAAATTTACTCGTTATAGAGTCGAAGGTTGAGGATATAGGTATTACAAATTGAAGTTTGAGAATTTCTTTGCTCAACTTATTTACTATAATAATTTTATTTAGAAACTCGGGAAAAAAGGGAAAGGAAAAAAATAAATCTTGGGATGTACATGTATGTGCCATTATATTGTTAGCATTTTGGTAGAATTGATGAATGTTAGCTGAAATGGGCCCACTCCCAACCAAACCCAACTTGCCAACTAAACTGACTCCATTCACCGAACACCAAGTTGCATCAGTAACATCTTAGAAATCTTAACCAAATCAAAATTCTATTCTATGGCTTAATGTACAAGTGCTTAAGGATTTCTTGGCTAACAACCATAACCAGGTTAGCTAACCTTGTCACAATAAGCAATAGCGACCTACAAAAGCCATTGCGATAATGTCATAGAAGGACTCGGGTCAAAAAAGGTCAACACGAACAAGGGCATGATGTGTCTTTATATGTCGTTGAAATAATAATAGTGAATTTAATCGTGTAAACTGAACATATCACATGCTCAAGTCGAAAAGGCAATGTAAACTGTTCATTCCTTTCACGTCAATGTGGACGGTTGCTTGGCATTATTTTCTGAATTATTAGCCATCCCATGACTTAGAAGCCTCGTATCAAATGATTCTCTCTAAAAAGTATTGAAATGATTTCTTGAAAACAAAGCAGGAAAGTCGATATATTGCCACCGTTTGATACGAATTTATAAAGAAAAATGGAAAGATGGAAAAAATGTCTAACCACAACAAACCATCACCTCATTTTCCTTCTTCATTACTACTCTCAGTCCTCAGTTACCTTTTTAATTTATCCCATCCACTCTCTCTCACGCACTCACGCACACACACAAATCGTGTATCTATCTCCTCCACAATTTTCTTCCCCTCCTCATCTCCTCGTCCTCCACTGCTCTGCAAAATCACCATACCCAAAAACACACTCCTTGTTCTACAATACCAAGAATCAAGAATCCCCATTTTTACAGAACATAGATCTCTCTTTCGGCTATCTATAATTTCTGTATTTACCAGATCTTGCAGAAAAAGCAGACATCCGAAAAAATATCGTACATACACATAGGGGTATAGAAGAATTTGGGGTCTGAAGATGGGTTCTTTGAAGTTAGATCTATATAGCAGAATCCACCCGGAACCGATCGATCACTTTGATGTGCTTCCGGATTCTATTCTGCTCTTGATCTTTAACAAAATTGGTGATGTCAAGGCCTTGGGTCGATGCTGCGTCGTTTCGAGGAGGTTCCACTCTCTGGTTCCTCAGGTCGAAAACGTAGTCGTTCGGGTTGATTGTGTCATCTCCGATGATGATTCTTCCTCGTCAGGAATCTCTGCCGCGTCCTCGGTGTCGGCGGCGGACAAGTCTCGCCATCCCATCTCATCCCTTTGTCGACTTTTCTTTTCAAGCCTCTTTAAGCCCTTTCAGTCACTTACCCAACTGATTGCTCCCTCCTCACGCCGCCCCATCGTTTCTAATTCGGAAGATTTCTATGATATAGACCAGAACAGCGTGACCCATCATTCTCCTACCCAAGTCTTGAAGAATTTTGATGAAATTAAGCTTCTGAGAATTGAGTTACCGCGTGGGGAGCTTGAAATTGATGAGGGAATTTTGCTTAAATGGAAGGCCGACTTCGGGTCCACGCTTGACAATTGTGTTATTCTTGGAGCCTCCAGTGTCTTTCAGACCACGAATACTGATGAGTGTTCCAGTGTTTGTAACGTTGATAGTAATGGAGCAGAGAGCGATAATGGGAGCATACCCGAATCATTTTACACAAATGGGGGCTTGAAAATGCGTGTTGTGTGGACAATTAGCTCATTGATAGCTGCCTCTGCTAGGCATTACCTGCTCCAGCCAATAATAGCAGAGCACAAGACGTTGGAGAGCTTGGTATTGACGGATGCTGATGGACAAGGGGTGTTGACGATGAATGAAGTGCAGTTGGAGGAGCTGAGGGTGAAGCCTCTATCTGCCTCAACGGCTTCCAAGAGGACTCTGGTGCCGGCTTTGAGTATGCGGTTGTGGTATGCAGCACATTTGGAGTTGCCAAATGGGACTGTGTTGAAAGGGGCGACCTTGGTGGCGATCAGACCCAGCGAGCAGCCGAAGAAGGAGGTTTTGGAGTCAGAAGCCAATTGGGTTGCCTCGGCATTTGAGGAGCCATTTGGAACTGCTGCAAGGATGCTGGTGAAAAGGAGGACTTACTGTCTGGAAATGAACTCATTTTGAGATGGAATTCCAAATACATGTTTGAGGTAATTTCTTTTTTGCAGATTTATTGGAAATTTTGAATTGGTTAAGATATCTCTATGTTTTGTAGGCATATTTCTGTATATTTTTAATTGCAAATTTTGAATCTGAGTATTAGTTCTATGATGTGTGCATTCATTAGTATGCTAGGATTCATTAGTGTGCTAGGATGTTTTTCTGGGTGGGTTATTATGTGATTCTTAGGCTGGTTTCCCTTTTAGACAGCTAAAACTTTGCAGTGCTTCTGCTGTTGAAAATTGTAGATCCATTTTCTATTTGTGATCTATATTGTACAATTTTATACTCGTGGATAACCATCATAATGTATATATTTCTCTCTCAAAGCTGACCTTTGTGAACTGGACGTCCAGTGTTATGATATTTGTTTAACAGTGGTTTTAGGGTCTGTATTCATGGCAAACATTTGTCTCATTCATTTCCTGCATTGCTCGAACTTTAACTATTCACTATCAAAATCATTTTCCTCAATCATATGCTATTGTGGCTTTTTTAATTTTGTGATTAGGCTTTGTTAGTGTGCCTGCAACCTGTAGTTTGAGGATAAGCGCTAAAAGGTGAATGTAAAATTATTATTATTATTATTATTTTTTTATTTTTTTTGGGAAGAATGATGGTAGATTTGTCTCTTCAAATAATTCGTGAGCGAGATTGTATATTGTATTTCAAAGTATGGTGTGACCTTTCTTTTTTATTTTATCCACTTTTCGCTAATAGAATATCAAATGCTTACGATATGGATATAACTTTAATCTGCTTTTTCATGTATCTTTAGCATAGACAGTCTTCTGCATTTTCTATATTCATGGTAGTCTTGACACTGTTCTGTATGGCTGTTTCTTCTTTCCTTTATTGGTTTGAATGGTTTACTTACTCTGAATTCTCTTTTGGTGATTATGAAGCTTTCAGGGAAAACACAGCTTTCCGAGGAGGATTCATATGCCGGGTATACACAATTTTGTTTTAAGCACTGTGTACCATAGACGAATAGCTAGTCAAGCTTACTCATGCTTCTACCATGTATGAAAAGCCAGCTTTTGATTGAAAATGAGCCACGGAACAATCCACCTACACGGTCTAGCTGTTTTTAGTTAGGCATTTGCTTTTATTTTAGTTTGAGGCATATGCTTTTATGGGCGCACGAAATGCTTATGGATTGATGTTGAGCTTTGTGCCTTAGACTTATTACTCGTCTACTTTACTAATTTTCTCGTTCTGTGAATATTATAGGGATGAATACTGTATGCTTATGTAATGTTCATTCAAGGTTCATTGAGCAGTGAATCTGTCAATTATCTTGAACTGTTGGCAGTATTGTTAATGTACCTAATTAATTTGAAAATATATGTGAGTTGTTTCCAGCTATGATCCATTATTGAATCATCCATTTCCAACTTCAATAGGGTAATGGATGTCCATTTCGTTTAGCATTGACTTGTCACGAGTGGCACTGCAAGGACTGCACTCAAATTCTTGTACATAAAGCAATATCAAGCATTTGGGCCCTATTTGCTAGTAATTTTATCAAAGGTGCATCATACGCTGTTCAAGCAATCCGGAGGCCTTAATCAAATCGGTTTTGCTAGTGGTACACTGGGGTATATCGAATGGTGTACATCCCACTCACATGGGTAAGGGACCCACTCGAATAAAATATCATTTCTTTTACATGGGCCTCACATCCATGTGAGTGGGGTGTACACCATTCGGTGCACCCCATTATGTACCGTTAGACAAATTCTAATCTCCAATTCGTCAAGGGATTCGAGAACAATCATAGGAGTTCCGATGATTATTATTATTATTCTAATTTCATCTGTGATTGTCTGTGTCAAGACTGATTCTAATTGAAATTGTCGTGTTTTTTTTACAGAACTATTGGGAGATCATAGATACACCTTCGTCAATGATTGTTGATAATATTTTTGTCAGTAATGTTGTAACAAGAGCGATCATTTACGAGATCTCTATCCATGATATCTACAAATACAACAGAGAAAATTAGTTTTTCTCATTGATTTGCTACACCCCTTTTCCCCAAGGAACGTTTGAAGTAAACTCGTGAGTACTAGAAGCACTATTGAAGAAGAAAACAAAGCTAAAATTTTGTCTTTTACATTGTCCAATCCTTCCTGCCCCAAAAGTTTAATTGAGTAGACTTAATAAAATTTTGCTCCAAAGAAACTTGAGCACAATTTGTACGCCGAGTAGGCATAAAGTTAGTGCTGCAACATCAAACCAAATCTTTTTTTAGGAATTAACATTCTTCAATTACAAAAACAGTGGGAAAAGGATTATATGGTGCTGACTCAACTCATTCAAAAGATCGATTTTTTTCCAACACAATGAAAAAAAAGAATCAGAATCATTCAAGTACAAATAAAACACACAGTACCTGGCACCCATAACAAATTGAAATATGTGATGCCAGTTGAACTATCTGAAAATTAAGTGCAAAGTAAGAACAATAATAACTCGAAGGCCTGAGGTAGGAAAAGTATTCTTTGCTCTGGACTTTTGGCAAGAAATTTACCTTTAACTAACTCAAACCTACTGTCAAGTCGTCCTCAGCAGAATATGAAACTTCTCATCTTCAGTTACCTGCATCAAAGACACTTTAAATTTACTGTATTTATCCAATGCCTTGTAAGCTTGTGTATGTAAAAATGTCTAAATCAGTTAAAAGGAGATCGGAAACTTTGTTCTAGTCCTCCAACAAAGGTAACAAAGAGTTAAAAATCAGAAACTTTCCCTGCATTTTCTTTTAAACACCAAATCTCAAGATATTAGAATTTTTCTATAACATGTCTTTAAGCAATAGACAAGCTCTCTTGACAACATGGCCTCTATCTAACTACATAATTCATTCTAAATAAGGCCCAACACATGTAGTTGTGGAAACTTTGACAACTATAAATTAAGCCTCATAAAAGTTGTAAGTTATCGAAGGCGACACAACAGGGAGGTACACTATACTTCAAGCCTTCCCTAGCACTTTCCAGGATCATGTAAAGTTTTTCGGCGCTTATAAGTTGGTCAAACATCATTTTAAACCATAAATTTCTTAGGATCCGTAAGTTTTAACCACTTTTAACCACACATTCCTTTAGACCTACTGCTTATAATAATTTAAAAACTTAGCCAAGTACTAAGCTATAATTTCTGAAAAACAAGAAATCAGCTTATCACAAGATCTTATAGCATTCACTATTCTAGTATTATTTCTATTAATCCTTAACTATTCCCTCCTTGCAACCACAATTGATATTAGGGATTATAACTAATTAGACTTCTAGTACCAATAACAAGAATTATATTCAAGAGTTACACCATAATGCGAACATGTATTTGAGTATGTATGGCAAATGTTTGTATTAAATATAAAAGTTAAAATAATTTTTTATCCACATATTTCGTGGAATTCACATGTACTATACATATGCTTATAGAGATAGTAAAAATCAGAAAAGTGAGTGAAAAACTGAAAATTAAAGTTTTGAGTGAAACATGTCCTAAATCCAGTCTCACAACAATTAAACCCTCAAGACTATTCTATTCCTAATATGTTTTATAACCCTTTTAGATATTCTAAATAGTAAATATTATTTTAGGACTACTAACTGCAGATGAGATACAAAAATGTCCTAATATGTTATAGTGTGATATTTCCAGGATTATTTTAGGCCTTTTGAGGGCATTACTTTCAAGGCGGGGATAACTCTATATGAAGGTCTATTCTAGGTCAAATAAAGAGGGTTACACATGTTACGCAGCAGAAAAAAAGTGACTTACAAGGAAGAAGAGATTTTTTTTCCCTATTCTTGCTTTGAAATAATTGGCCATTATTTCATTGATATCTGAATTTGTAACAAATCGAGAAGTAATTTACAGATTTAGACCGTTTAGTAAAATCCGACAATTGAATAAAAGGTAGAGATAAAGATTTATTATTACTGTGTTCTTTAATTGAATTCCTAGTTGACTTGATTCGTTAGGTGGAGATTTATTCGGATTCATATAGAGATATATTGACTTAAGTTAGTTAGATAGAATTCATTTGAACTCAAGAGTAAATTTATTTAATTAGTGAATTTGTACAAATGAAAATTTTGGAATTGAACTTGAGAGGTGAGATTAAATGTGATAACTAAAGTGAAATTTGTCATATTGATCATTTAATTACTTTTATTTTCCTTAGTTAATATTACTTTAATTAATCAAAGCCTTGCCATCAACATTAGCTTGATTCAAATATCAGTTAGGAATAATTAGATTAATTATCAAATAGATAATTTTCAATGGAACGAATAATTCGAATTCTTAAGTCCACTTCACTACATATGTGCACTTGTAATTATCACACAACAGAAGACATTCATTAAATTTAGTCTATTTTTCATTTGTTTTTTATTTTTTAAATACTTGCCTAGTCGTTTTCAAGGAATTTATAAGTAATTAAGTTCCTATATTTCTGTAGCAACAGTAAGGCATTAGTATTTTGTCTTTAGAGCTTCTTTAAGGTGTTCTTTAGAAGTAAATTTTATTTTAAAAGGTGAACTCTTAAAACTATGTTCCAAATGATTCTTTAAATTAACATTTTAAAATAAAGTGGGTTTGGCTCTTCAAATTCAAGTAGTCAAATCCACTATCTATAATTAAATACATTCAAAATGTTTTAATTTTTAAGACTCAATATATTGTCCCAATTAAATAATATATATAAAAAAATAGTGGAAAATAATATAATAATTTGGATGGAAGCTGATGAAAATAAACAATAGGAAAAAATAATAAATATAACCGCATTGTATGTATAATGTGGTATACATACACATTTATATACAACGGTTTGATTTTGAGCAAATATGTTTCTAGATTCATCAACTAAGTATATAGAGAGTTCATTAAACTCGAACTGTTTTAATTTGTCATATCGCCATCTGTTAAAGCATCAGAGTAATATATGTAATTACTTTAGTCCTTGTTTGGCCTTGATTTTCTATAATTCATTTTTTTTTCCTTAAATTCATTTTCAACCACACATTTGATTTTTAGCTAAACCATGCAAACACATAATTACATTCTCATATTCATTTATCCCTATTTGATTTTGTTAAAAAATGAAATTTTAGTAGATTTTGATAAAAGTTGTGAGTCTCACGAAATGTGTGGTTAAAACTAAATGTTTGATTTTGATTTATATTTTTAGCCTAATTCTTTTTTCTATATTACTAAAAAATAGCTTTTCACATACGAAAAATTACCAACGGTTGCAACTCGTTAGTAATTATAAATGGATTATCCGTTAGTAAAAGTTATTCACTTTCAACTACGATTATCAGCAACGAATTTTTTGTAAGTAACGATGATATCTCTTTACCAACAGATATTCCGTGCCTCATGTAAATATTTAACATTTGGATCTTTCACCTACAGAATATCCGTAGGTGATATACCGAATATTACCAATGGATGCAATCCATTGGTAATTAGAAACGGATTATCCGTTGGTAAAAGCAATTCACTTTCAACTACGATAATCGACAACGAATTTTCCTTTGGTAACGATGATATCTCTTTACCAACCGATATTCCGTGCCTCATGTAATCGTTTAACATTTGGATCTTTTACCTACGAATATTTCGTTGGTAATTAGAAACGGATTATTTGTTGGTAAAAGTAATTCATTTATCCCACATCGAAAGTTCACAACAAAGTTTTCGGAGTTACCCTCTATAAATTAATTTGTGGTCCAATAAGTGATTAAACAATATTTTACTTCAGTAGGCTAAAAGTTAAAAAAATAAATTATTAAATAAATAATAATAACAATAATAAAAATCAAATAATTTTTTTTTTATCATGTCTCACATCTATGCGGCTATTTACAATATTGATTTTTACCCATAGTTATTAAACCCGACCTGGTAGTCGACCCAAAAAAATCATTGGGCCACCGAGTCAGTGGTTGAACCAGTGACTCAGTGGTTGAACCAGTGACTCGGTGGTTGAACCGGTGGGTCATTATTAAATTATAATTTTAATTAAAATATATTTTTGTAGTAAAAGGAAAATTATTTTGCTAAATCTAAATATAAATTTTTGACTCTTGATATATGACCAAAGATCACAAATTTCCCAAATGATCAAGGAAATGAAGTATAACCTTGGAAGCCAAGGTTTGAACCATTCTCGGTCCAAACCGACCAATCTGATTTTAATAAATGTGGGTTATACTTTGTGAATGACGATTATTTTTTTTAAAAATAATAAAGTCTTGAATAGTTTATTACGGCCCCGTTTGGGAGGGATTTTGAGAATTGATTTTTTGATCGTTAGAAAAAAAAGCGAGGTGAGAGAAGAAGTCAAAAACTACGGTTGGAATAGTGAAGTAACGGTTAAAAAATCAATTTTTTGGGGTCAAAAATTCCTCCCAAACAGGCCCTATATTTCACAAAAATAATGAACATCTTCTCCCAATTTTTTACTTACAATTGATATTATAAAAGATTTTAAAGTTATTCTATTAGCAATAGAAGTTTAGTGGAATGGTTGAAATTCTTGAAAACAAGTGATATATATTATAGTATGAAGTATTAAGACAACTGTCAACTGTATCCTAGTGGTCCGTAACGAGTGTTGATTACTAAAGGTTAAGGGATCAATTCCCTATATCATGAAAATTGGGTCATTTACAGTAAACCGTCGAGTTAATTCAAACCGGTTTACCGGTTCTTTATTGAAACTGGCCGGTTCGTCTAGTCTTAGACTGATTTAAATGCTGAACAGTTCGCTCATGAGACTTGGACTGGTCCATGGTCCGGTTCACCAGGTTTTTGGTCTTAATAACTATATTTTTACCAACTACAATGGTAGACATTTCCCAATGGAAAATCGGTTGGTATTAGTTAAAATTTTTACCAACGAAAAATTCGTTGTTAAAATATTTACTCTTTACCTACGGCAGAATTCATTGGTAGTTATCAACGACCCTCAAATTAGCAATGGATTTACGGTTACAAATATTCTTTTGGTAAAGAGTAATAATAATGGATATCGAGGTTTTAGAAACAAAAAATTCGTGTCTGAAGCCATGTTTTTTAGTAGTGTATTGAATGTGAGTTAGGCCATATTAATTTTTTTGTCTATTGAATGTATTGTTGTCTTTCTTATTCATTTTCTACTTCAAAAGAGTCATGTATAAAAACAAATGTAAGAGCTAGCATTACAAGTAATTGATTTACATTCGAGTTTAATTTCTCTCTCTTTTAAATGTGATTTTTGTATGTACCAAACAAGCATTAAATACATTTTGGACAATTCATATATTCTCTTCCTTATTCTCTTCCTATTGGAACATTCATTTTATTCTTCAAGTAAATAAAGAAAATGACAGGCCTTGTTTGATTTTACTAAAAATTAGTTTTTTAGTTGTTGTGATTTGAGTAACAATATAATAATGATGAAAAATATGAAATTGACAAAGAAATAAGAACACTGATTTAAGAGGTTAGGCGATGTGTTTACATCTATGGGGCGAAAAAGCAATGATTTTTATTATGTATGACTAATAATGTTACATCCCTGGCCCATACACGACTTTAGAACTCATGCAAGACTTTTAAGGAAAATAAAAAATACCCTGGTACTGTATCCCCAATCTATTATGCATCACTGACAAACAGACACTAAATTATCGTCTGAGAGGCCGATGTCATAGCTCAACTCTGCTTCGACATTGGTCTATTTATTCTAGCAAACATGCGTTACATTCTATATGGGCAACATATTACAATATTAGTAGATCTTGATAAAAGGTAATGAAATGTATAATTAAAAAATTGAAAGAAAAAAAATTATGAATATCATAAAATTAATTATTGACTTTAATTTGAATTTTCATAACATTTTAACGAAACTAAACTAAATAGGGCTAAATATCCCCGTCACCTGGTCTATATGTTTAATTATAACCTAATACTCTTAAACCCTCGACAGCAAGAGGTTTTGCTGCCAAGTGTTGAGCTCCAGCAAGAGATGAGACAGGCACAACCTAAGGAGACAAGGAATTTCTCGGATTATAAATAAGAAAAGAAAAGGCCATTTTTTAAGGTTTCCTGTAAATCTCAAATGTTAAAAGATTGCTCCTTTTGGCCAGAGATTAACACCTGGTCTCGCCATAGACATGTTATTAAGAAGGGAACCAAACGAGACAGACAACCAGCCGTTAGCTGTTTCACAATCGCAGCTATCAATGCAAGTGTAATAAAAGACTACGGAAAAAGGCTTATAAAATATATGCCCAATGGTCATGCTTATTTGTGAAAACGAAGAAATCAAAGAGCACGAAAATCAAAATGGCACTACGAAAACCTAAGCAAAAAACATAAGAAAAATAAAATATATGGATCAAGAAATAATTTATAGGGCTAGAAGATTGTTTATATACCTGGAATTAAGATGGAATGGAGAGGAAATGGATATTGAATGAACTCAGTTCTTTCTTTTTCCCTTCTGGGAATGGCTGCCGCCATCACCATAGCAAAGCTGCAATCGGGCGTCTAGTCCAGACAGGAATTGGTGGTGGTTCTCCACTGGTGAGGCAGTGGTGCCGATAAAGAAATTCGGAGACCCATCTATGGGAGGAAACCTCTGGAGGTGAGGCAAAAGAGACGGCGAGGAAGAATTGGACTGAAGGGTCCCCCTGTTGAAGCCATCAAGGCTTGAAGAAGTAGCAGAAGAAGAAATTGTGAAGTTCAGATTGTACTCATCAGCACCATTGTGATTATTATTATTATTGTTGTTGTGTGCAGTGACAGCTGAAACAAAATATTCCGGGACAAACGGGATATGCCGGAGCTCCGGCTGATGGTCCCCGGATACACTAAACAGCTGTGAACAAACCGGCTGCGAAAGAGGATTTTTTCCCAAGTGAATTTGCCCCGGACGAGTTGCCTGTGGCCCTAATAGTCCACTGTTAAAGTAATCCATTGGGGTTGAAGACCATTGCCTGGGAGATTTTTGGAAAAAAATTGATTCATTTGAAGTAGTATTTTGGTGAACTGAGACGTTAAGGTTGGTGTTGTTATTGACATTATTCATGCCAACACTCAAGAGTTCAGTGAAAGAAGTAGTATCGGAAAGAGGGTTCAAATGTTCAACATGAGGAGACTCGTTCTCTTTCTCCTTCTCTTTCTCTGCAACTCTTTCCTTTGCACGCTCCCGGGCTTTGATCCGATTTTTAGATCTGGAAACCGATAGCCCGGAACCCTTCCCGGTGCCAGATTTGGATAACATCCCCACCGTCTGTTGAGGATCACCTCCGCCACCGTCCATGTCTACTTCATCTGAGTCAAAACCTTGTTGATCATTACCGCCAGAGCTAGATCTCTTCTTGTCGCTCAGCTGCTTAGGAGTATCTGGAAATGCAGTACTAATGGAAGGGAGCTTCGATATAGAGCTGGCAGCGGCCTTCAGCAGCCACTCCACCGCCTTGCTCGGCTGATCGTAGCCAAGTCGGTCCTGCAAATCGTAGAAATGAATCGCCGTGTTCACCGAGAGTCTCACGCGCCGATCTCTTGGCCCCTTCGAGGTGAGAACTTTGCTGTGCCTATCTTTTCCACCAGATGCTCTTGAAACCCGAACAATCCGTGATGAAGGCCAGCAATTAAACCTACCAAGGGCACCACCAAGATCGATACCGCCACCGTTAGCCCTGCTCCTTGTAGTCTCTCCATCATCTTCATCTGCGTACTTCAAGCCATCTCCTTTCTGCCCTATTTTACTGAACTCAATCCTTCCATTGCTGATTCTTGGATACTTACGCCCATGATTTTGAATGTCATCCGCCTCCATACCACTTTCATACCTTTTCACAAACCCCTTTAAGCTCTTTTCTTCCTTATTCACCCCAAAAAGTGTTTATAGGTCGAGAAAGCAAAAGGGGTAATGGAATCTAAATTTCTAGAACTAGGGTTTTCCAAGGAAAAATTATGGTTGAGCAGTTGAGTATTGCATTTATGACAATTACACAGAAAACTTTAGCTTTTGTATATTGACATATACATGCAACAGATAGAGGGGAGGGGAGGGGGCCGCTTTTTCTTCTTCTTGATATATCACGTTCTGTAACAGAGAGGGATTCAGAAGAAGAGAGGAAAGAGCTTTTTGCAGTGCTTCCAAAAGCAAACCAAAGCCTGTGTACTTGCTCAGATCACTCTTATCTCACTCCTGTAAAGAAAAATTAATAAAACATTAAAAATCATAACCACATAAAAATCAACCCAACAGACAAACAAACAAACAAAAAATGAAGCAAAGTCGCTTTTTTCAAAGGGAAAAATCATCAGATGAAAACCCTTCTAAATGCTAACACTAGTTTTAAGTCGAAAGAGGGAGTTCCAGTTAAAGTCAAACGCGGAGTATTAACGTCGAGTTACTGAAAAAGATCTATACGTTTTGAATCATCGAGTAGAATGAGGAAGGAGCCGAAATGGATTGACCAAAAGGACTTCAATTTACCGAGAACAAGGACTATTTTGTCGTTGTAGAAGGTAATGAATGAAAAGTCATAAAGCTTCACTGACTCAATAAATTGCATACATCAATAGCTATAAATTGAAAGAAAGATCAAATCTTATATCTTAGCTGT